ACGATTAGAGCCATTTTTTTTCTTAGATGATTCCTTCTGCTTTGAGGGGCGGTACTTGAGGTCGGAGGTGAACTTTTTCGGACCGTCGTGCATTGCGTCATGTGATGTTGACTAAACAAAGATGGCGGACCACTTGCCAGTCGAGGTAGGTTTCTGTATTGAAACTGCACTTCTGTGTCGGAGTTTTGTTTTACGTATTATACAGTATTACATTGAGAGTATATTGACATTGAAAATCTATTGCCAGTGTGTCGTGGTTTATGAAATAACAGTCATGATATCAGCGATCCCACTGATAGACTGGGTTACTTTACGAGCCCACTCCCGATACTTGGTATACTATCATCATGACATCAATTCTTGGGAGTGGGCTCGTAAACACGAGTACTAAGTGCACGTACAAATGGGAGGCACCCTGAACTATTGGTCCTTGAATTTTAAGTGTCACCCAAAATCCAACTCTGAGTAAAATTTGAGATCAACTCCGTGATAGGGCGAAAACAAAATTTGAACACAGTTGAGGATGAAAACCATTACATTATGGGCTGCCAACAGCACAATGAAATGAGATAGAAACTTTTTACAGGTTTACAAAAGGATAATCCTAATTTACTTCATTGAATCATTCTGATAAATTTATTTACATTATGCCAAACTGTTAATCTTGGTGCTTTTATAATGCAAACAGGTGTCTATTAACTAATAATAGTATACTACCTGATTCTGTACTACTTAGTAGTTTAGTACTGTAATTTAGTTGCCAATTGCTCGTTAACTACATGTAATTTGTTATTTTATTTTTGTTTTGTTTTTACTTACTCTTATGTTATTTTAAATTTTATTATTCTTTTACGTTTCTATTTTACATGACTATGTTTATCTTCTATGGAAAGAATTATGTCAGTAAAGTTATCTTATCTTATAACATTTCATTATTATGTGTTCGTGGTACCCTCTAAAACACTTGTTGGACACGTCTAGCGACCTTGTATCTGCTCCTCAGAAGTTGTACATTATAGGGAAGATGGTAGAAAAACTGTGTAAATTATATTTGTCTTTCAGTTAGCTAGATTTTTTTGAGTTGAGATGCTGTTGCTATAAAACTTTCATTTCTCTGTCAAAATAAAAAAAAGAGCTTAATTGAGCACTGATGTTTGTGTAGTACATTGTGTGCATAAAAATTTCGTCTTTTCGACCAGTGACATATTTAAGGCATTGATAAACTGTGCAATGTTATTTTTTTTTAGCTCTGATGGTAACAAAGTTATTCATAGTACTGATTATTATTCAATAAGCATCTCTCTCACTAATCCCAAGTAGAAATTTCTTGTATTCTGTTTATAGTAAGGTTTATAAATTAGCTGGTAGGTAGTTAACAAATAGGGGTAACTACATTGTACATAGGTCAGTAGTGTTACAGGTTGATCTTTTGAAATATGCCGTCATAACCTGCTCTCAATGCTGACATCTTAGCTTGTTCTGCAATAAAACATAGTCTTTTAAAAGCCATTACATCAATCCATGGGTCAAATTTTGATGCAACTTGTTTCATATTTTTATGCATTTTTTAATTTTGGACCAAATGGAAATAAATCCCATATAAAGTAATTGTTTGTTTTTTCTTTCAATAAAATATGGAAAAATTGATATAGCAGGTTTTGTTTTGTGAAAGAAAGATTTGACTTGATGTTTAAGGGTCTGTCTTTTATTTGCCATTGAAATTTTGATCTGTTAAGTAAATAAACTGTGAACAAAACCTGTATTATAATCCCATTTACTAGAACTCAATACATTGAGTATTGTAATCTTATTTCAATTGAATTTCAACCAAATTGATATTCATGTATTGTAATGTTGCTAAAATTAAACAAATTAGTGGATTTCTATGAGAAAAGGCATATTTTAATTAATAACTTTGGAAAGAACCCTAACCCTAACACTCCACCCCCCTCTATGCCCCTCAATACGCCCCTCCATATAATTGTAAGTGACCCAATCAGAGGTACCGTATATACAAATGAAATGGAGGAGGGATACTGGAGGGGCAGGGTTAGAATTAGAGTTATGGGTGATGGGGCCCTAAGGAACTCGTAACATAACTTTTAGCTGAGTGACCAAAATAAACTTTACAATTAAATGTTTTTACGACTACCTGCTATCCTGTCTCATTTCTTAACCTAGTTGAGTAAACGGTATGCATGCTTGTAATCAACTAAAATATTGAAAAAGAAATCGACCCAAACCTGTAAGCAATATCCAATTCTGTCTATTTGGGTTTTAATTGTATTTGTAATGACCGAAAATGTGCGAATAATTTTAGTAAATAAATGGATTTCAAGAGATCATTTATTCTGTGTTGTAGTCATTTAATTTCCTCTTACATATACTGTTTGAAGTCATCATAATGTCTGTCTGTTTCTTGTTGCTGACAACTGAATGATTGAATTTTCTATTTGCAGGTGATATCTCACATGATGAAATTCCTCAGCCTTCCTGATCGTAAAGAAGCAGCACTGGTCAGTAGGAGTTGGTATGAGGCAGCAATGGACCCAGCGCTGCAGCGTGATGTCATCATTACATTCCAGACACCGTCCATGGCCGAGGAACCAATTGCTGGATTTGGAAGACGAAAAAGCCCCAATCTACTTCTAAATAATATTGACGGGTCTAGCAATTCTAAGTTCACAATACAAAAAGCCTGCCAGTACATGGGGCATAATCTACAGATGTTGTCCCTGAAGGGGTCTGATATAACTGAAGGCGCCTTTATGTCAATAGTACCCTACTGTCATAATCTGACCTCCCTTGATTTGAGTTCCTGTAATAGTTTGTTCATGTCAGGCAAGTTTCTAGGTGAATCTCAAGACCTTGAGTCTGTTAAAGCTGCATTGGTCCATGTCACTGATTTAAATCTCAGTGCCATCAGGTATCTTTCTGATTCCCTGTTTAACCGAGTGATGTCCTGCGTTCCCAATGTCCAGAAACTCTCTCTCGCATCATGCCACCTGACTTTCGAATTTGATCCTTATAAAGGCAAGCAAGGCGACAGTGGCACAGGATGTAACTCTAAAACTATTCTGACATTTTCAAACGTCCTGAGTTTGCTCCATTTACGCAGCAACAAACTGAAAAGTTTAGATTTCAGCCGGACGTCAATCACTAACAAAGGTATTAGGTCCCTGGTTGACATTCCGGGTTTGGAATTGAGAGAGCTGATCCTGAAGTCCTGCAGAGAAATGACTGATGATGGGGTTTTGATGGTTTCCAAGAAACAGCCCTCACTGGAGAATTTAGACATCAGTTTATGTCAAGATCTGCGTGATGGTGCTGTGAGCGCTATCAGACTACATCTGCAAAATTTACAAAAGCTGAACATTTATAAATGTAGATACGTCACTGATAGATCAGTCCACAAATTGTGCTCCTCATTTCCGTCTTTAACCCACTTCAATGTTTCAGACTGCTATCAGTTGACTTCAAAGGGATTAGTTAGTGCATTGTGTTCGACCGGAACCTCATCATTAGTTTCATTGAATCTCAACTGCTGTAGTCTAGTCCAAGATGATCTGATTATCGAGATGGCTAAAGTCATGAAGCATCTTAAAGAACTTGATCTAGGTTCCTGTGTCCATATTACTGATGTCAGCGTCAATGTCATTGCAAAATCTTTTGGACTTTTAAGGGTCTTGCGTCTTGCCTGGTGTAAAGAAGTCACTGATTTTGGTATCTTGGGGTTAGAAAAGTTCATCTACCATGACACGACGGTAAATGAAGTCCAGGCGGAACAAATAGGAGGTCAGACCATCACAATGATTACTCCAGGGAAACCTAATCAGTACAGCAGTGGGAGGTTCTCTCGTAATTACGGCAATATCGGCATGTTTAGCAGCCCAGCACAAGGGGATACCAAGCCACCACAGAAAGTGTCATACTCTGAAATGGAAATGGAAATTACTAGAAATGAGAATATAGGTATTTATACATTGACTAGCCTGCAGAGTTTGGATCTCTGTTCAAACCACCGCATCACAGATCTTGGGGTCATGCAAGGAATTCGATTTCGCGAGCTACGCAAGCTCAATCTCAGCATGTGTACACAGGTTACTGATGAAAGCTTGAAGTGTATTTCTGTAAATAACAGCAGCTTGGAAGAACTTTTTCTGAGTCAGTGTCAGAAAATCACTGATGTCGGGATCGCTACCATCGCGAAGAATCTCTTCCGACTGGCATTGCTTGACATGTCCAGCTGTGATCTGGTGACAAATGAATCACTGAAGACACTGGGTTTCCACTGTAACCAGCTGAAGCACCTTGATGTGTCAATGTGTGATAAGATCACCCTGGAAGGAGTCTATAGACTCACACAGAAATTGACAAGTTTGGTAGTACAGGCAAGGTATGTGGGCGGTGGAGGGAATGATTTTAATTTGTATGCGCATTAGCGATGTATGCAGTGTAGAAATACAGATTTTGTATTTATCAAATTATTCCTTTGTCCTACATGATCAGGTGAAGAAGAAAAAACCCATTATGTCCCAACATTGTAATATTTCTCAGAACATTGTTGACAGTTTTTTGTTTTTTTTCTTTGAGTAATTTAATTTTTAATGTTGATGTAAATTTGAATTTGAACACTTCATTATTTACTGGCTCTATTAGTAGCACATGTGTGTACATCTTGTAAAAAGAATAAATATTTTCATGATTCAGCATGCAGTACATGTACATGCAAATTCGGATTTATGTGAACTTCTATTGGGATGTGTAAAAAGTTATCTCATCGTCAATTTTTTCAGTTTCTTTGGTGTTTATGATAAACGTTGCTGTGTACGCCCATTTTGGGAATTTAATATGGTTATATAGACAAGTGGAAGATGACATGGTTACTTGCCAAGAGTACTATCTGTGATTTGAGGTTGTGCAACATTTAGTAGATTTTGAACCAACGTTATTACTGGTGGGGCCCATGCCAAACTTGCTACCTTAATTGCAAAACAGCTAACTGACACCCAATCAACAAAAATACAGAGGCGTGGCCAACTAAGACGTTAATCTCAACAACTTAGGGTGTGCCATTTTTTTGTAGGAGTTGAAACTTATTTTGGGCTGTTTTTTATGAAAAAAAAATATTTTGATGCTGTGTGATTTCTACTAGTTTATCTTTTGAATTCTGGGGTTTTCTCTAACCTGCGTTGTGATAGTGGACTAGTTTCATTTCCGCAGGCTTATGAAAATCACTATTATGTATTTTAACAACAATGTTTTCTCATGCACCCACTCAGATAATGATGCAGTACAAATCACATTGACACCCAAGCCAAAGATTTGAAAATCACTAACAAGCTAAGTTGCTAATTAAGCAGCAAATTTGATAGCCATGCTGCAAAACTGTATTTCCATGTGCACACATGCCTCACCAGTAATACACCTGACACAAGTTGACTCTGTTATTAAAAAAAGTATTTAGTACATGGGTACATGTGCTCAAAGTGAACTTACCCCATCATCAGTCATTTCTCAGTGTTCAGAAATATGCATGTACATGCTGGTACAACGTAACCTGTGTAAACCAAACACCCAAAGGGATTGACTTCTATAGTTTTACTGTCAACAGTTTTGAGTGCGGCTGGGAGATAGTTCTTTGTACTATGACAATATTGTCTCGTTACACTAACAGTTTTTGCAGTGTTCCTACTTCAAATAGTTTGTTTATTTGAGTTTTCATGAATGTTTTTTTTTTTAATCAACCACCGACTATCAGGTACCTGCTGGAGGGGTACAATGTTTTTGTATTTCATAAGTTGCTGTAAATGCTTTAATTATTCACAAGGTTTAAATTTCACTATTTTCACTGCAAATTAAAAACAGCTGAATTAAATTCACATGAACATGTAAAATAACAATATAACTCATTGTTTCCCTGGCTAATCCGTGAACCCATTGTATATTTTCAAAATAGTGAAATTAAATCACCACTGAAAATTAATGCCTTTACAGTACATGTACATATAATACAAACCTGTACAAAAATATTAAGATTTACACATTTACAGTAGTTGTGTAATATGTATATAAATATGATTTAAATACACTAAATGATGTAAATATCGTACAATACTTGTATATTGACATTAGTATGTTACATATAAACAAATACATACAATGGACACTGCAGGTATGGTTGTCCAAATATTGCATAATTTCAGATTTTTGGTCATTAATTAACCAAGAACAGTTTTGAAATCATTTTCTTAATAGTTTTTCTTCCTACTTGATTGATCGTACATGATCCAAAATTTGCTTATACTGAATTGTTTTTATTCTGATTCTCACATTTGTGATAATTATTGATGACATTTTTTTTAACTTATTTACCATTACATTGTGCAGCTAAATGCCCAAATATGGTAGTTATTTTGCATATCAATTTCCATATGTACTTTATTACAAGAGAAGTAATATATTGTTTCCAAGCATGGCATGTCTCTGGCCAAGTAAAACCACAGTGCTTTAAAGGTCTGCAGAACACTTGTGTACATTGCAGCACAACTCCACCATGTACCTCTTGTGATGTAGTAATTCTGTCAAAATGATGGAGATGGGTGTAAGCAGTGGGGTTCAAATAAACAACTCTTGATTCGTTGTGCAATCTTTGATTGCTAATAATACTATATTTGCTCTATTAGTTTATAATTAAAATAGATCATATATAAAAAATGGAATTTTGGGTTTATGTGCGCTTATAACAGAGCAAATACGGTAAAGTAAATCTATAAATTTGTTATTAATGGACGGTCACGGATTAAGCGATATTGACATTGTTATCATTGCACCCATTTACATCATTGAAGTGTTTCGTCACTAGAGGGCTTTATTTATGGGAGTATTCTAAGCATTTAATTATATAACATTATAAATTTCAGACTTATTTGCATAATTAATATTGAAATATAACTAATATGTAAGTAATTATTTGTATAAATGTGGCTATTTCCATGGTGTATAGTAGTTTCTAATTGATGTCTGTGGGTATGCATCTAGGATGTATGTATGGCTAATGGAGTGATATCTTGGGAGTCCCCAGTGATATTTTATAGGCATTTGCATAAGAGTTCTTTATTTAAAAACTGGGGGCGAGATAGAGAATCTTGAAAATAAAAATGATTGTCTGGGTGAAGAGAAGAAAAAAATTAAAAACATTCATGATAAAGAATTGGGTTAAAATGCAAATAAGGAAATTGTTGGACGTATGTGAATGAAATGTCTGAATAATTTACGTTATCAGAGAGCATATGGCGTACAATAATTTATGTCATCATACCGGTAGTAGCCATTCAAAACAAAACGATTAGGAACTTAAATACAAGTTTTTTTTGTATATGCTAGCAAAAGACATTTTTTCTGAACTCTTGTATGAATAATATAAAAGATGCAATCAGAATCAGTGGGGTCCAAGCGGACTATTGTATGGCCTGACAATGTCCAAGTTGATGGTATGCATTCTAGGCCAAGTGACAGATTATCGTTTGAGCAGTGTCATCCAAAAGCCATTGTAAGTTATATTTAAGCAATCGCTATACTTTTTGGCCATTTTTGCAATACAAAATGGCAGCGAAATCATACAAGTAAAATAAAAATAAATTATTTTTTCTAACATGAAGCATTGGCCAGACATACCGGTACTATATGCTAAAAATTTTGGCCATTTTTGTTTTAAACCAAAGTTGTCGGCATAATCACATGACTGTTCCACATTTATTTTTCCCCCCGCAAGAAGCTTGAGCAAAAGACCAAGTTGATCTATTAAAGTAATCGTGAGAAACATATGCCCAAAATTTTGACCATTTTTACTGAAAATCCAAGATGGCAGCGAAACTATACAACTGATCAAATTAATATTTTTCGTAAAAAGCGTAGTTAATCGTGTTGGCATACATCCAAACAATTCAAAACAGCAAAGCATGTCAGATTTATTGTAGTGAATACACTAATTACATCGTAGATAAACGTCATTTCTGTCTTGTCCAAGAACCAATCAAACTGTGTTTTACAATAAAAATGGTAATATGTCAAATTAATTCAAAAAGTCACGGTGCTTATCTAAAACAAGAGCAAATTCTGTTTCTTTGAAAGTGAAGTGGTGTTAGGAGACGCTCGATATAATAAGCTAATTATGTA